ACATAAGTAAAACAATCAAGGAATCTTCTCAAACTTGGCGAGAGAAGAAGCATAACATTGTGGCGAGGCATTGTGACTGGGTCCAGAATGCCTGGACCCCACAACTAGCTTACTAACTGTTTGACCCTGAGAGGTTGTTTCACTTCTCTGTACCTCGCTTTCCTCATCTACAGAATTGTGATAATAATGGTATCTACTTTTAGGCTCTTTGTGAAGATAAAATTAGTTAATATATGTGAAGCACAAAGAAAACACAGCAAATGTCATTTAAGTGTTATTTTAACTATATAACCATTGGATGTAAAATATATTTTTTTTTAATCTGGGTTTTCATCACGAATATAGTGCATGGGACACCTGGGTGGCTTAGTTGGTTAAGCATCCGACTGCAGCTCAGGTCATGATCTCATGGTTTGTGAGTTCAAGCCCCGCATCGTCTGGGTGCTGACAACTCAGAGCATGGAGCCTGCTTCGGATTCTGTCTCCCTCTTTCTCTGCCCCTCCTCCACTCACACTATGTCCCTCTCTGTCTCAAAAATAAATAAACATTAAAAAAAAAAAAGAATATAGCGCAAAATTATAAATCCATCAGTTATATGTTGCTTATTTTCTACTTACCTATTTTAATACAAAGTTCTAGTTGCTTAAAAAAAATGAGAACTTTCAGACCACCAAGTTAAAGACTACATAAATGCAAAGTGTTTGATATTAGCAGCTGTCTAATCAAGACTTTCTCTTTCTTCTTTACGTTACAGAGAAGTTTTTCTTTGGTCCCTCTTCTCAGTAATGCAAAGTCATTGAGGTGAAGATCTGTTAGTATTAGAATTATTTCAATCACAAGTATTAGGGTAGGAGGGGGAGTGTGTCATGTGCCAAGTGTGCAGATAGGGAAGCAATGTAAAATGGTTTGGCATCTTGGTAAAGTTTAGGTGCTACATATTCTTTCTTTGTCCAGTAAAGGGCCTTGTTGATTGCCTGGAGAAACAAAAGTAAATATGAGGAAGTAGCATTCTTGTTTACAATTTCTGTAACAATGCAATGTGCAAATGTCATATAGCTTATTTTTTTAAGTCTATTAATCAAATTTGGGTTGAATACATCTAACTTGCTTTATTTCCAAATTGCAAAGTTTCCTCCAGGGCAACTACAGAAGATCCGGCCAGGTTTCCAGCTCAGAGGGTAGAATTCGGGATTGAGTTCTGAGGAGGAGGGGGTATCTCGCCAAAACATGTTTGAATAAACAGTGTCAGAAGGATGAGAAGAGATACATGAGAGTCAGGCTGAGGAAAACCAAACACCAACAGCAGGAAGAACAAGAAGAACTCATTAGAAACAAGAGTGCTTATTTCAAATTGTTTTGAATAATACTGGGATGGCCTCAGCTTAACTCTATAGTAGGAAGATGGATGGTCATGATGTGTGGGCCAAAAATATGAGACTAGAGTGGAAATGAACTTCTCAAGACCAAGGTTTCCCTTTCTCCATGTTGACCATTTCATTCTTCCTTAAGAGGATCTCAGCAAAAGAAACCAGAAAACAAAGAGGCAAAGCAAATGTGCCTGCATCTTGCACTAAGGACAACATAAAGAGCGGGTTTTGAAAATTAGGGTCTTAGTCATCCATGATACCTTTGCCTCATTAACATGGATAATTGAAATTTGATTTTTCTCAACCAGTTTTATTTTTTTTTTCTAAATAGAAAAGATCATCTTATACCTCACCTGCTTTCAGTAGTTGCTGTTCTTTACTGTGTTTACTGCTTTCAGCATTCTGACAAGCTCCAGAATAATGACCTATGCTGTGTATTGTTAAACGTTCAGTCAGACAGATAGATACAGATAGATGAGTATGTGTTGCACAAAGACAGTTTAGCATTATTCAATCAATGTTTGTTTGATCCCTGTAAAACAAGTATAAATGTAAGCTGCATCCCATCTGTTTTATCATCCATGTGAAGCCAACCTCATTTCTAAAACTTGATTTCTTATGTAATTGCCCCAGAATGACAGAGGATGATCAGTTGGGAAGAAATATCTTTCAGACTGGCGAGATAAAGGATAGTTTTGTTGAAGTGTGTTTCATATGTTGGGCTTCCTCATTTTGCAGTGGCCTTCGGGATAAGCAGTAGCATCTTGGCTTGGTAATTACCAGCTGTTAATCATCAGTTGGGCTTTGAAATCACACAGACCTGGGTTTGAGGGTGAATGTATGAGCCTAGCTGTGTGAGCAAATTACTTAACCACCAAATAGCACAGTGCCTGCCACAGAGCAGGCCCTCAGTAAGATTTATTAAATTAATTTTTCTTTACTTCAATTTCCTTGTCTGTAAAATGAAGAAAATAACAATACCTACCTCATAGCATTTATGAAAATTAAAACGGGATACTGCATGACCTGGCAGCTATTATAATTATCCTATTACTATAGGTCTTCTTCTCATGGGTCATACTTTAAGTCTAAGCATATTAACATATGTGAAATAAAACTTATGTTTCCATTACTGGTTTTTAAACTCTTCAATGTGTAGGTATCAAATCGAGCATTCAGAAGGCTGAGAATATGTGGCAAGAGTGGAAATGGACATGAGTTAACAGTGTCTGCATTGATAGATGCAATTTCATTAGTCTAATTAAATGCTTGCCACTTTACACATCTGTGAGTGATCATAGTCTGAATAACGGTCATCAGAGGGAGTAATACCTTCCACCAAAGCACTGAACGTCAGCGAGCTTAGCCGCTTCTTGGGATATTTTAGAAAATAATGTGCAAGAAGCTTATGTACTCAGTAACGCTCATCAGTGTAAAGTGGGATATCAGTGGTAGTTGTAATTTCGGGATCACATACTTTATTATTAAACTGTATGATAATGAGTGTTAAAGTTATTAATCATAGTGCACTTTACCTTGCAGTTTCCATTGTCTGTTCTCTAATTGCCATGATATAGGGAAGAATTACTCCATGATTTCTCTTTATGAACTCTTCTCAACAACATTTATCCATCAATTCAATTCATTTAAGAAAATCTCTTGAACCATTTATTGAGCCATCTTTGTCAGTGCAAAGATGACTGAAGGTGTATGGGTAGGACTGTGGCTAAGGACTCTAGAATTTAAGCTGTAGGTCATTCAGAGCCAGTGGAATTCTTAAGCAGGAAACTAACCTGTCCAGACCTGATCTTCAAAAAGACTACTTTGGTATGAAAAGTGACTTGTAGTTAGAGGTTTGAAGAGAGAGTCCAAGCAGACATCAGATACTGAAAGATTGAGTTTAGGGAGTGGCAGTGGGCTGGTGACTGGGGGCTGATTTAAGAAAAAAGTAAGGTATGGCTTGGTCACCAAATAAATATGCTTTGTATAGAGAAGGTTCAAGGTTGACTTGAAGGCTTCCACCCAGGCATCTGCATGTTTTAGCTCATCAGATACTTGGAGAGAAGTACATTCTGCAGGGGAGATAATGAGCTTCCCTGGAAGAACAAGCTAGAAAGACCCCTAATTATATGATTCCTTAGACTCTAAAGCATAGATAATTATTTTGCTGAATATTTTTTCAATGATAGGCTACTTATATATAGAATAGCATTGGCTAAGAAAAGATAAGGGTTTTATAACCCTTGGTATATTAGGGGCTAGAACCATACTGCTGAGAATTTTAGAATGTTTGGAGGCTATTCATGAGGGTTAATAGGTCGACTCTTTGCAGTTGTGAGTTTTACCAGCCCTGTTAAACACAAAATATACACATCTTTAATATTGTCACTGCTGTTGGATATGTTTTACTTTCCAGTTCTACAGATACACATAAGGGCATGAAAAATGCCCAGTATCAAAACTAACTGCTAAAAATTCTATTAACATAACATAGTATCTTTACTTTTCACAGAATTTTACCTGCATATAACCCTTACCATTATTTCTGAAAACTTGATTTTAATCATTTGAAATCATGTTTATGTAATTACTGAACTCATGTTTCCTTATACCATGAAATTACATCTTAAAAAAGTGCCCATGTCCTATGATAAAAGAAAAGAGGTTTTGATTTCCATAACATTGCAGGAAATTAAAAAGTCCTTTAGAGTATTTTTTTTTTTCTATAATCAGATCCTGAATTCAGTCTCAAGATGATACTGCTTTAACTCTAAGAAAACTATATATTATTTTATATTCTGTGTAATATTTATTTTAGATTATTGAGTAATGAGTTGAATGAAGGTATCAAGAAAATGCATTATAAATCAGAAAAAATATGTTTCATTTAAAGAATAAAAAGAAGCAAGCTTTGTAAATATAACACATAATAATAGGAAACATAAGTAGAAAAGCAATTAGATCCTATCTGCATTGGGTTATAAATTAATATTTGAAGATAAACATTAGATTTACCAACTTCCCTTCTTTACTGTTATTCTTAACTGTTTGAATTGTACAGATTGCTTGTGCTACTGGCCATAGTGTGTTATGGAGAAACAGACAAAATTTTAAGTTGCCATCAAAGTGGAAGCCTAGAAGTGAAGAAAAAACAGGGAAACCTGTGCCCAGTGAAGCTAGTGAATGGTCAATAAACTTAAAGGGTGAGGTTACGTCCTGACAGGAAAGACTAGGGAGAATAATCAAGATAAAATAATGTTCACAGAACCAGAAGGAGTATTGAGCCAGATAACTTATAAACTACAGCTGCAGAGAAGGAAATGGAAAACTAAAACAATTTTTAAAACACTGCCTTTCCAATATTAATGGAACATCCATATCGATTTTTTTTTCATTTGAATCAATTGTTGGTGACTATCACTGTTTTTTACTATGATTAATCATTTCATGTTAAGCTGGGTATATTAGTGTTCAGCTTCATAAGTAGGGTCATCTTGATAAAGTGTGGCTTCAGACTTTTCTTTTTAAATCATGTTTGTTACTTGTGATAAATGCCTATAATCTGGTGTTATTCAGTATTGATTTTGTGTGTGTGTGTGTGTGTGTGTGTGTGTGTGCTGTTTTTCTTTTAGTCAATTGACCCTGGCCAGCAGTTCACATGGGAACATTCAAACTTGGAAGTAAACAAACCAAAGAATAGATATGCGAATGTAATCGCATATGATCATTCCCGGGTTCTCCTATCAGCAATAGAAGGTAAGGAAATTCAGACATTATTTATACTTTTATTTTTCATGAATTTCTAAGTGTTTGCATGAAAATATAGTTTTAACTAGGTTTTTCGCTATCTATGGAAATAGCTAATTAATATTCAGGCACCGCTTGTTCTCACATTTTCTTTACTTCATACAAGTATACTGTATATGGGTACACAACATCCCCAGCACCACATAGCATAGGTGCATCTCTCATTACCTTCTTACCTCTATTCTAGGTGAAAGACTTCATAAGGTACATGATGCTTGTAGAGGGGAAGCAAATTGAGGTTGCCCATTTTACTGATGGTTGCTGATATAAATAAACAGGTGATTGTCAGAAGATGCTCATAGACTATTATTTTTAAATGGGTGAGCGGTTTGTAAATAAATCTGGATACCTCCTAGGGACAGTAGAAAGTTTAGGAGTTTGTGGCGTGGTGATTTATAAAAATTAAGCATATCAGAAATGTCTGGTACAGCTAATTTGTGGACTGCTTGGTAATCTATCTCTCGCAATTGTAGCAAGTAGTTCATTCCAGAGGGAATAGTTGCTCCCAAAAGATGAGGAATACACCTCTAATATACCTAGCTTCTTGTAAGGAGTCATGAGGAGAGTATTTTCCATTCATCTCTTTCCAGTAATAAATCTCTTCACATGGCATATTAAAATCATTTAGGAGCGCATGTTCAACACTCAGCATTTTGTTAGTTTTTTTGTTTTTGTTTTTGTTTTTTTGCTATGGTAGCACATTGGATTGCTGTCCTTACAAAATAGTTTACAATGTCACTTAAATCCTTCCTTCTGTCATAATAGCTAACCTGGACCACCACCTTCCACATACCACATTCATCCTCACTGACATCCAGAAAAGCTCTGTGGCCTTTACATACTTGAAGGTTCACCACTTACCCTCTTCCAGATATCTTATTAAACCTTGAATAATACCAACTTCAGACCCATTTTCATAACCTTATGGTTCAAACATTTTCATCTATACTTGTTCAAATATCTTTCACATTTTTCTGCTTCCCAAATCTGTGATTTGGGAGGTACCACTTACCTCCTAACTCTGACCAAGCCCTACATGCCTTGTTTTATGCCCAAAATTAATTTGAAAGTGAGACACTGATTTCCCAGTAAACACAAAAGGCAACCAATGCATTTATTTCCAGTGTTTGGGGAACAAGAACTATCTTCCAGCATGTGAGCAAGCCCATACCTGCAGCCTCCTTTCTGCAAAATGGTGTTATACGGCATAGATATATTTTATAAAGTTCTCATAGTCAATTTTACTTTTGATGTTGGAAAATGTTATAATCCATTTTTGAGGCTATTAAAGATCCTAGGATCTTGAGAGTTAATGTTTTTCCATACAGGAAAAAAAATATCATGTTTATCAAAATTTCACCAATGCTAATTCAAGCAAGATGGTGTCAGACAGGTAATTGCTTCAAGTCCTGTTTGAAAACTGTAATTGATTTATGTGGATGATTATTTGCATATAGCATGTACATTTTATCTTTGTATTTCCCACTTTAAAATGTAAAAAAAAAAAAGCAATGTCTTGCCTCAAGTTTCTTAAATCAACTCCATAGATAATAAGAAACTAACCCAAGTCACAAGTGGAGGAAGGAAATCTTTTTTTTTTTTTTTCCATTAGCAGAACAGGTAAATTATAGAAATTAAATGAATATAAATTGAGAATCTATTTGGCATGATCTTGGCTGGATAACTTGTCAGTCTGCCTTTGCTGTATTATAACATTGTTTTCACTCAGAATTAGGTCATTCAATACTACTGTGTCCCTGTACTTTTACACACTTTATCATTATTTTCCTTAACCTGTTATTTTCCACCATCTTAACAGTAAAGTATGTCGAAGGACAAAGAATATTCCTCTTTGTACATTTATTATGATATATGGAAACTATGTACATTTCATTCCTATGCTATTTTTACAGTACAAAAGCCAAAGCACTTGAATCAGACTAAAACCTGCCTTTTTATAGTTCTATGCTCATAAATATACCCTAAATCTAGAGCTGACCTAGAAACCAAAAGTGTTTCAATTTTAAGTCTTATGCAAAAGGTTACAAGCATTTAATTGAAGTTTATAGGCTAAAGAGAGAGCTTTAATCTAGATTACAACCATGAACAGCATTTTATCTAAGACTAAGCCCTAATCAGCAGATATTTAAGGGGGTAAGCAACAATCCTATATCTTAAGCACAGAAAGGGAAATGCTGGAGACTGGAACCATAGCTCACTGAGGCTTCCCACATAAAAGGAGCTTTGATAATACACAGCCAGATTTTTTAAGAGCATTTAAATGTTAAGAGACTTGGGGCGTCTGGGTGGCACAGTCGGTTAAGCGGCCGACTTCGGCTCAGGTCACGATCTCACGATCCGTGAGTTCGAGCCCTATGTCGGGCTCTGTGCTGACAGCTCAGAGCCTGGAGCCCGTTTCAGATTCTGTGTGTGTGTCTCTCTCTCTGCCCCTCCCCTGTTCATGCTCTGTCTCTCTCTGTCTCAAAAATAAATAAACGTTAAAAAAAAAATTAAAAAAAAAATGTTAAGAGACTTCATGCACAATTTATAAAATTTAACATGCTTGTTTTAGGCTCCACCTGTGGTGATAACTTAAAAGACTTTGGTCAAAGGTTTTGTTTTGGACACTTTTGCTGCTGTTTCCCCAGCGGTGCTGGCTGCTCTTCATGTTTACTTTGAGTAAACATGTAGGTCAGAGTGGTCTGACCTACAATAAAGGAGATCTGGAAAGTCGCCACAGTGATTCCTAGTATCCTTATCTTGTTTCCTAGAGCAAAACTTTTACATGACTTCCGCCAAGCAGTGGCAGGGGAAATAAACTAAAGAATGGGGAATTTTGTGTCAGCACCAGCGTGCTTATTGAATTCTGTGAAAATAGTGATACATCATGACATGTTTCCAAATTACAGCCATCTTATTTATGTTGGGGAAAATGTGGAGCAAATTCAAGAGAGTTCTAACTACAGAATGCTTACAATTATTGAATTGCAGAGCAAGCAGTGTGGAAACTGCTTTTGACCAGTCCACTTACCGTTTAAGCTGTTCTTAAGAGAACATAGTAATACCCGAGGAAAAGAGGTGATAGGATTTATTTTCATAGTTAAAGCTAAATATTGTCAAATACTAAATGGAAGCTAATACTTATATTACAATTAAATAGTATATAATAATATGCTTGATCTTATAGAATTCAGTTATTCATTACTTTTACTAACGTAGGAAAAAAGAAATTGATAAACCAAAAGATAAGAGCAAGGAAATCTGGGTTTGGGTCACAGCTCTGTCACTTACTAGTTATGTAACCTGGTCTTCTCTCAGTATCAATTGTTTCAGCTGAAACCTTATTTATTTACTTATTTATTTAATTTGAGTATACTTGCCATACAATGTTACATTATTTTCAAGTAAACATCCTAAGTGTTAGGCAACTGATTCACCTTCTCTTAACTTATGCTGTGCAGAAGACAAGTGTAGCCTCCATCTTTCACATACAATACTATTAAAATATCACTGACTATATTCTGTATGTTGTGCCCTTTATTCCCATGACTTATTCCTTCCATAACCAGAAGGCTGTATCTCCCACTCCCCTTCACCCATCTTGCCCATCCCCCCCACCCACCTCCCCTATGGCAATCACCAGTTTGTTCTCGGTATGTATAGTCTATTTCTGCTTTTTATTTATTTATTAATTTGTCTTATTTTTTAAAAGCCACATGTGCGTGAAATCCCTTTCATTTCTGACTGGTAGGAGTTAACTCTATGTAGCTTTCTTATCAATTGTATCATTTACTGTATACACTACAGTTTGATGAAGCAACAGCATAAGTACCTTACTACATACATATCCACACTTGGAGATGAGAAGAGTGAAGCTCAGAGTGTCGGCCCTAAGCCATACCACATATGAGTAACAGAGCTCAAACTAGAAGTGCGCTCTTGTGATTCTCTGACCCATGCCTGCATAGGCCCACATATTCGCACTGCTTTCCTACTGATAGAGGATGTATCTGTGACTAAGTCACTAGCTTGAATCTCAATGCCCAGACTTATCACTTTGCCTAAAAGTCCACTTTATCATTGGGCTGTAACCTGTGGATAATATAAACATTACATTTTAGTATTTCATTTCCTATTTTACGGCAGAACTAATCTGAGGCAATGACACAATACAGGGACTCAGTAGTGATCCCAATGCTTAGGTTCCTGCAGTTGTAGAAGTAAGGTCAAGTGTATCTATCCTTAATTGATTCCAAAAGTGATCTACTTACCTCAATTCTTGTATGTATCTTCAACTTCTTATAAACCCAGGAATATCAATTAGTGGCAGATTATTTATTGTAATGTCTTATAACTAGGAAAAAATCAATCTAATTATTTCAGTTCTAGATAAAAACATTTTTTTCTAAAATTAAATTGCTCTTCACTGCTGCCAGTATTGTATTTCTATTAGTGGAATCATAATTAACATTTCACTTTAAAAGCCATATTCAAATGGAATTATTTTAATTGTTGGCCAGGACTAAATATAAAGCAAACTTTTTAAAAGCCTACTTTTTTATGTCAATGACAAAGACAAGGAGTTAAAATAGATATGATTCTCTGGGTATCTATTGTGTGTTGAGCACCATGTCATAGATTTTATATAGTGTATAAAATCATGGATAGATTTTATCTATAATGTTCAGAAGAACCTCAAAAGTTAGTTGTTACCATCAATTTTAAGGATGAAGAACTGTTAAAGTTTTAAAAACCAAGTAACTTGTTTATAATTAGTAGCTCGTTCATGGCAGAGCCAAAATTCTAACATGAATCTTTTGGACTCAAGACTGTTATTCTCTCCAATTGGCCACTCAGAACTAAAGAGGCTTTTGAATTCATGAAGACTGTGACTATATATGGCACACCTAATTCAAACATGATATCTTTTTGGCTGGGAAGACTGTCTA